ACCACTCCTCTCCTCTCAGGTCTGCTCCCAGCCCCACGTTACAGACCGGGGAGGGCTTGGGGACCATTTCTCCACTCTCAGGTCTGCCCTCAGCCCCACATTTGAAGGTGCAAGTGAGGTGGCCTCAGATCACTCGATGGCACCTAAGTTGACAGCGTGCTGATGGTCAGACAGGAAAGTGCCCCAGCTCACGTTGCAGGCTGGACGGATATGGTGACAGCTCAGACCCCTGCCCGGCCCTCCCCGCCGGGGCTGCTTACCAGGGTCTGTTGCCGGCCGCTCCCCAGGGGTAAGCTGGTCGAGGATGATGGCAGCCATCAGCTTCTGTGCGCCCAGCATCCCAACAGCCAAGTGCTGCTGGTACATGTCTCTCACTTTGGGGGACTCGGTGCCTGTGATGGCGTCATGGTGCTGGACCTGAGCTCCATACCGGGAAGAGCAGGCTCAGGGTCACCTTTGCATGTCTGCTACCTGCCCGCCCCCATGACGCTGTCTCATCAGGCATCACCCATACTACAGAAGATAAAACTGAGGCTCAGAGGCCGATGAACTTGTTTCAGGAGGAACAGCCTGCTGGAAAGGACAGACCCTGGGTCCCCCTTGTGACTCAATCTCCCTGTACAGACAGCGGATGCATCCAGGCCCACTCCACACGACACACATTCCTCTAGGACCCTGAGGGACCCCCAGGTGTCTTAACCAAAGGGTTGGTGGTATGAGTCCAACCAGAAGAACCACAGAAGAAGGGACTGGCAATCTCCTAAAAGGCCCAGAAACCCTACAGAGCGGTTGTTCTGCTCTGTTACATGTGGTCCCGGGAACCCCCCTGGGGCAGGGCCGGACATGTCCACTTCAGAGAGGAAACTGAGGCCACAGGTGAAGCCCCAGACTCAGTGACAAGGTGTGAGACACACTGGGGGGCACTCCATGACTGAAGGGACATCGCTCCTGGTTGTGGGTAGGCCACCGGCTAGGAAGGGGCATAGGCAAGACGTGAACAGGCAGGACGGTCAGCCCCCCTGGGAAACTCCCAGCTCAGGGAGCTGATTCCCCATCAGAGGCGTGGGCTTGAGCGTCCTGGGAGTGTGTGGGGCGCACATTCCGGAAGGTCTGTTACCTCAGACACGGCCCAGCGGAGCTGCTGAAGCTGCTGCAGGGCCCAGGTCGGGTCCAGGGTCCCTCTGGGTGCCGGCCACATGTGGCGTGTGAACATGGACTCGCTGGCGTGCAGCAGGGCGCTGGCTCTCCGCGCCAGCCCCTTGAGGGTGCTGCGGGACGTGTAGAAGCCTGTCCAGGCCTGGAAGGGTTCTAGAGACGAGTGGGCAGGCTGAGGCCCCGAGGGACGCAGGCTCCCAGGACATGACCCTTGGGCTTGCACATGGGTGGGAGATGCTCTCAGCCTCACAAGCTCTCAGCACAAGCTTGCCACAGTCCAGGGATGTGCCCACCACCCAGGACAGTCCCCCATCCCCCACCCCCATGACTGTGCAGTAACAGGAAGCCAGGGCCCGTGTGCAGAAAGGCAGCCAGGAGCAGGTGACATGGGAGGGGAGGGGGCCCATGCAGGCAGTGAGAGGGTCAGCGGGGGTCTCGGTGGAGGTGGGGACAGAACCGGGTGGGGTCTGGAGGGGCAGGTGGGCGGTGGGCTCCCACCTGAGGAGTACGGCAGGAAATCCTGGTGGGCTCGTGTGTTCCAGGTGGCATTGAGGGCGTGCAGCGCGCTGAAGTAGTCGGCCAGCGTGGCGTATTGCACCGAGACGCCCAGCTCGGCTGCGCGGCTGTTGATGTGATCCAGGAGGGGGTCCATGTTGGAGAACTGCACCGAGGCGTTGAAGAACTGCTTGTCACATCCCTGCAGGGGACATCCCCAAGCCAAGTCTGTGTCTCACCAAGCCCACTGTGGACCGCGGTCACGTGAGAACTGAGCAGGCCCACGGCCGACTCTGAACAGACCCCACCCTTTCCAGCTGCCCAAGCCTCAGCTTCTTCATCTGCAAAGTGGGGCTAACACCAGCGCCTGCCCGGGGCCCAGAAGTGTAGACAAAATGGACGAGACAAGCAGAGTCCAGAGAGGCCAGTGGGGACGGTGTCCAGTGGGTGCTGTCCCTCACACCAGGCCCAAGGCGCTCACGTGGAGCCTCCAGCCTCAGCCTCTGACAGGTTCAGGGGAGTGCAGGTGGAAGGGTGAGGCCCGGGCCACTGGTTAGAACTGAAGGCATTTGGAGGCTGATGTGGGGGCCATGAAGGGGATGCTGGGATGGACCTCCGTACCCAGGGCCAGAGGACGTGGGGCGTCCGGAACCAGGCAGCTCTCTGTTTCACGTTGGCCACTAGGGCCTCCGCATAGAGGTCGATGTTAGCCTGGGTGACGGGCTCGCTCATGTTGGGGTACACCCCATCCGGGGGCGGCTCTGGGAAGACGGCAACACCGTTCCAGTAAAACCCAGACCTGTGACAGAACAGGAAACCCAGACCTGTGAGGCCCCTCAGCTGGATTGGGTGAGGGGGCTGCCCCAGGGTCATGGAGCACCCCTCAGCCCCGGAGTCAGGATGGCCTGGCAGGTCCACTTGGGGGCTGCTGACCCTCCATCTGACACTCATGTGCTGGGACAGACAGGTTCCACACCAGCTCCACCCCCTATCAGCAGGGACCCTAGCCCATTACTTCACCCCAACTTCCCCAATTGTCATGTGGGCCGGTAGCTCATCTCCTGTCCCCATGGCTGTGACCCCTGTATGCATGTATGTTCAGCCGCCTTGGGCCTGGGGCAGGAGCTGGGCCAGCCCAGGCAGAGGCATGAGCCCCAGATGCCCAGCCTCAGGGTTCTGGTGATACCTGAAAACTCAAAATGCGCACTCCCCACCCAGGATGAACAAAGCATCAATGTTTGACAAGCGTCAGATTAGGGTCATGGGTTTTCCCTGGGGCTCCACGTGGCTGTCTGGGCACAAACCTCAAGAAGGGTCACCGGTTGGCCTCAGGGATCAGTCTGCACACCCACCCTGGGGCTTTGACCCCATTGTGCCTTCACTTAACCCCTGAGGCAGGTGAGGGTGGAGAGCTGAGGTCCAGAACTCCACGCGGGACCCTCTCCTCCTCCTCTTGGCTGTGAGATGGCAGTAACGGTGATCAGGGACAAAGTCCTGTCATGTTGAGGGCCTGCCTCTCCCCACAGCCCCCCAGCCTAGCGCTGTTCATGAGGATCCACAGATTCTCCTCAGGGAGGTCGCTGATGTGCTGGAGGGTCGGAGAGGGACACAACACTGGACAATTCCTGGGACAGCATGGACGGGGGAGGGGGCAGAGATAGCAGGGCCTCTAGGAATCAGCTGCTCACTCCCAGAATTGAGTGGGAAGGGGCAGAACAGCGGAGAACTACCCACTCTTCAAATCAGGCCATTTCAGGGAAGACTCACTGCGAGAAGCCATGTGGGGTCTGAGTCAGTCCAGGCTGGGCAACTGCAATGGGTGAATCATGTCCCCCAAAGATGCATCTATGTTTTAACCACATCACTAAGGCCGAGTCTCCTTTGAGGAGGCAGCTCTTGACCCGCCACCTTCTGAGCGCCTTCCAGCTCACCTTCCAACACTATATCAGACAGTGCCCCATAGTTATTGGTTATATTTTTTCAGAAGTAGATCATCAGGTCCTTCTTCCGAGTCTGTCTTACAGTCTGGGAGCTGCACTGAAACCCATCCACCATGGTTTAAATACCACCCTGCTGGTATTTAAAATAGTGGTGCAGAGCCTTCAGCATCACAACAACATGCAAGCCACCACAGTACAACACACACACAGACAATGCCAGCAACACTGGAAAACAGGTAACTGGCCCACCAATTAGAAGAGGTACACATACGTACCTATTCCAAAGAAAGGTCAGCCAACGCATTGCAGAGATGATTAAACAATACCATTATCATCACATGCAAGTAAAATTTTGCTGAAGATTGTGCACACATCTTTGCAGCAGGGCAATGACAGGGAGCAGGCAGCAATTAAGGAATGAGGGATATTATTGCTGATACCAGATAAATCTTGACCCAAAGCAGAGAACACCAGAAAGTAAACACCAGTGTTTACTTGTTTTATTGACTATACAAAAGTGTCCAGCTGTGTAGATCATAATAAATTATGGGTAACGCTGCGAAGAATGGGATTTCCAGAACACTTAATTGTGCTCATGAGCAATCTGTACATGGACCAAGATGCAGCTGTTGTACCACAGCAAAGGGACACTGAATGGTTTAAAATTAGGACAGGTGTACCTCAGGGTTGTATCTTTTCTGTATGTTGAGCAAATAACCAAGAAACTGGATTATATGAAGAAGAACGTGGCATCAGGGTTGGAGGAAGACTCATGAACAACCTGCGATGTGCACATGATACCACCTTGCTTGCGGAAAGTGACGAGGATTTGGAGTAGTTACTGATGAAGGTCTAATACTTCACTCTGCTTTACACCACAACATAAAAGGACGGTCAAGAAGAACGCTAGAGGAGATGAGACAGGAATTTCCCCTCAAAGTGAATAAAGAAAACCTTTCCTAGGGCTAATGGTCTGAATCCACAGTTCTTGCCTCCTAGCTATGAGAATATACCTAGGTCATAAGGAAAACAAAATTCCTCACCACTGGTCCAATCAATAACATCATGATAAACGTGAAAAAGACTGACGTTGTCAAGGATTTCAGTTTACATGGTTCTACAACAAACACCCATGAAGCAGAAGTCAAGAAATCAAACAACATATTATTGCATAGGGTCCACCTACAGCAAAAGACCACTTTAACGTGTTCAAGAGAAAAGACATTACTTAGCGGACGAAGGTGCTCTGGACCCAAGCCATGGTATTTTTAATCACCTCATGCATGAGAAAATTGGACAATGAATAAGGAAGAACTTAGAAGAATCGATGCATTTGAATTATGCTGATTCAAATGTACATTGAATGTGTCATGGACTTCCAGAACGACGAACAAATCTGTGCTGGAAGAAGTGCAGCCAGAATGTTCCTTAGAAGCCAGGATGGCCAAACTTATCTCGCGTACTTTGGACGTATCATCAGAAGGGGCCAGTCCCTGGGGAAGGACATCACGCTTGGTCAAGTGGAGGGACAGCGAAAAAGAGGAAGACCGCCCCCAGGTGGACTGACCCAGTATCAGCAGCAGTAGGTTCAAGCCCCCAACGAGATGGATTGGTGCAGTATCAGCAGCCATGGGTACAGCCTAACAACATTTGTGTAGATGGCGTTGTTTTCTTGTTCGTACACAGGACCACTACGAGTCACAGTGACTCGATGGCACGCAGCAACAACAACATGTATCCGAATGACATCACCGGTACCTCACAACAACACCAAGTCCGAACCACTGCATCTGGGAGCGTGACCTTGTGAGGAAATAGGGTCTTTGCAGATGTTGTCCGTTAGGCTCACGCGACCTCATACATGAGCAGGATGGACCCTAAATCCAATGGCTAGTGTCCGTACCAGAGAGGAGAAGAGACACATTAGAAGAGGCTGTTGATGAGGAAGGCAGAGGCTGGAGTGATGTGGCCACAAACCAAGGAATACCAAGTCACCAGAGCTCAAAGAAACTTTCATGGACTGAACAGCATGCCCTCAAAATATGTGTCGATTTGGATGGGCTATGGTCCTCAGTGGTTTGGTCTTTCTGTGATGCCGGGACCATCCCTATGGTGTGGTCTGATGGGACCATCCTGGTCCGATGTAAAGGGATTAGGGCAGAAGCAATACCCTCACTCACGGCACAGTCCCGACCCAATGTCAGGGGAGTCTCCAGGGGCGTGGTCTGCACCACCTTTTACCTTACAAGAGCTGCGAGGAGAGAGAAGCGAGCAGAGAGGCATCCACTACCGCCAAGGAGGAAGAGCCGTGAGTGGAGCACATTCTTTGGGCCCAGAGTCCCAGGGCTGAGAACCTCCGAGACCCAGCGGAAGATCGATGTCTACACACATGTTGATCTTCAAGGAGTGCTGGGCCCACAGATGTTGGAAGGAGCCCAGGACCTGCCCCCAGGGCACACACACAGAACCTTCCCCGAGACCTGGAGCCCTGAATTGGGCTTCACATCTCTCAAACTGTGAGGAAATAAATTCCAGTTTGTCAAATGTCTCCTTGTGGCACCTCTGCTAAAGCAGCACTAGAGAACGCAGGCAGAATTCCAGGAGAATGCAACCCCCTTCGCAGGGAGCAGACCCCTGGCCTCCAGAACCTCGAGAGATGACTTTGGTTATTTTAAAGTCCTCAGCAGCAGTTCAGGACCCTCACCTGGTGCCTTTAGCTGTGGCCCTTCTGTGAAGTGGGGGAACCACCACCACCCGCTCTGTGTTGTCCAAAAACTTAATGATGTGACAGCATATGGGGGAGCCTGGTGTGTTGCTGCTAGACTTGGGGGCTGGAAGCTGCAGCCTGCTGCACCTGGGCGGGCACCTGAGAGGCACGTACCTGTTGGAGAAGGGGATGTGGGAGGGAGTGCAGTAGCTGTATTGATCCATTATGTGTGTGAAGCTTTCCTGGTGCTCAGCCAGCGATGGGGACCCTCGCCACACGAACTGCAGTTCCTGTAAGTGGAGGGGTGGGGTCAGCATGAGCCCCCCCAGCCCAAACACACTCTCCCCTCTGACACTCTTGTGGCTCACAGACAAGGTCTCCACCCCCGCTGAGCAAGCTCTGGGAGGGCCTCATGCTCATTCAGCCCACTCCTCTACAGGGAGGGCTCTGCCAGCAGGGCTCATCCAGCTCTGCTTGGATGCCCCTAGGACGGGGAACTCATCATCTACACCAAATAACAAAGCTATTTATTTGTTGTTGTTTAGGACATCCAGAGCAGAATATATACAGGCTCAACAGTTTCTACATGTCCTGGTCTGGCATTGTGGGATAAACACTGGACTGTAAGGTTGTTTGACCCACAGATTCGGCAGTTCAAACTCACTAGCCACTCCTCGGAAACACTATACAGGGTTGCTATGAGTCAGAAGCGACTTGATGGTTGTTGTTGTTGTTAGGTGCCACCTAGTCGGTGCCGACTATAGTGACCTTTATGCACAGCAGAACGAAACACTGCCCGATCCTGGGCAAACCTCACTACTGTTGTCACACTTGAGTCCATTGATGCTACCATTTGGCCAACCCATCTTGTTGGGGGTCTTCCTCTTTTTCTCTGACCCTCCATCTTACCAAACATGAGATCCTTCTCCAGAGACTGCTCCCTCCTGACAATATGTCTGAAGTATAAGAGACGAAGTTTGGCCATCCTAGCCTCCAAGGAGCACTCTGGCTGCACTTCTTCCAACACAGATCTGTTTGTTCTTTTGGAAACCCATGGCACTTTCGATATTCTCCTCCAACACCATAACTCAAAAGATTGATTCTTCTACGGTCTTCCTTACTCACTGTCAGCTTTCGCATCCATATGAGGTTATTGAGAATACCATGGCTTGGGTCAGGCTCACCTTAGTCCTCAAGTTGACATCTTTGCTCTTCAACACTTTAAAAAGTTCCTGTGCAGCAGATGTGCCCAATGCAATACGTCATCTGATCTCTTGACTGCTGCTTCCACGAGTGTTGATAGTTGATCCAAGAAGAATGAAGTCCTTGACAACTTCAATCTT